CATTTGCTGTAACTGAGGCAATGTTGTCCTATTAAGTGTAGGATCTTTGCACTGCACTTGGCGAACAACGTAATCACTGCTAAGGCAAATTACTCGCGGGATGGAAAAATGAGCCAAATTCGCGTGACTGTAAGTGACCAGATAAGCGCACTAACCTTCCTCTCACCTAGTGATTCAAGCGATAATTCCGAGCCTCCTGAAAATGATTCGTCGCTATCGGAAGTTCTCGAGAGATCCATTTTGTCTGGCAATTACATATAAATGTCATCATTTGAGCAGGCAAAGCGTCTACGGACACGTAAGCCGTTGAAAGTCAGCCCATGGTAACGTCCCAGAGTAAATGTCATTTGACAGATCATGTAATCAGAGTGTTATAACTTCAATTTTTACTATAAAAATTTTATTTCGCATTCAAAAGAAAAAAAAAGTATGCTGAAACAATGGCTTTTATCAGTTTGACCAAAAAAGAGGACTATAACTTGAGGTAATTGCTATGAAAGTTAAAGAATACCGAAAACAGTCCGCAGACAACCCCGGCAAAAACTGAAACCTCCGTCAAATGAATGCCCAATTTCCCCCCTCCCCTTATCCAAAGTTGTTTAGGATAGCATGGTAATTATACATGTTGGTTTTTAGACCAAGGCAACTTTGAATAGGGGGTGGGGAGGGGGTTTACTTTTTGTGTTTAGGGGAGACGGGAGTAGGGCGCAAAAGTTAGAAAATCGATGGAATTGTCTCAACAGTTTTGTCCGGGGTTGTCTGTGAAGGCCAGTTGTTCAAATCGCTGTAACTTCACAATGTAAGGTCGGAGGGTATTGATTTTTTGCACAGATGTTGTACTTGTCTAAAGCTTTGTGACTGCGAAAGAAGGTGTCATAAAAAGAATTAGGACGCATTTATTATGCACTTAATAGAAATTTAGCCATAAATTAGAAACCTTATACCTAAATGAGAAAGAAATCATGCTGTTTACAGAAAAAGTATTGAGAAATAAATTGTGGTTGGTGGCCACGGTTAAGAAGTTACTATGTGTCACAAGTATGATATCTTAATAGGAGCCTTACCTCCGGCCTTTTTACCAACGTTAATTGTGCTTACATGTCGAATAAATTAGATAAGACTGGGTATTTATTATATTTGCGCAGGACAACTGTCCTGTTCAAAAATAATAGTGCGTGGTGTGCAGGTCATGCACGAGGACTCAAGAATGCGCCGGAGCAGTTAAAAATACCCCTTAGAGGTAGTGATACTTAGTTGCACTGACAACTTTCTCCATGTAGTTAGAGTAGAACTGGAAAAGTAAGCTTCACCGAGTTAACAATACCCGCGTTTACCGAGTGTGTAATTAGTACAATTTACAACATATATACCAGATTATTTACTTGAGAGAATAATAGAATCCATGCCGATAAAACCGTTAATTTTTCTATGACAACCAAGGCCAAAAGAACAAATATTAATGAAGAACTTCCAAAATGGGTAGAAATAGGATGTGTAGGGAAAGCAATGCCTCTTTGATCACAAATACAGCGAAAACATATTGTCAGGCGATGGCAGTTCTTTTGTGGCCAAAAAAACAGCGCATTTCATGACAGTTACACACAAGTGTCAAAAAGTTTTCCCTTAAGTAAAAAGGTCTTTTTAATGCTTGAAAATCAACAAAAAGGTTCTATATACTATGGAAAATGCTTGAAAGCACCGTAAACGCTTGAAATAAACGATTAACAGGCACGCACATGTTTATTCCAACGGTTAACAACGGTTAACAGCGGTTAACAGAATATATTAAAGGAAACTGATAGTCTAACTGTTGTTTTTCTTCAGAAAAGTTGTTAACCGTTGTTAACCGTCGTTAACCGATGTTTCTTTCCTCTGCTGTACTTTATTCGTTAAGTTAACCGTCTGCGAGAAAAAGTACTCCGTTTTTGTTGCATAACAAGCTCATCAAAGTACCTTACACATCAAGGGATTGCCCGTTATTGTTCCCGCGGGATCTGCGTGGAGAAATGAGAGATCCATCATACCACATTCCTGTTCGTACACAATTCCACATTTGCTGTAACTGAGGCAATGTTGTCCTATTAAGTGTAGGATCTTTGCACTGCACTTGGCGAACAATGTAATCACTGCTAAGGCAAATTACTCGCGGGATGGAAAAATGAGCCAAATTCGCGTGACTGTAAGTGACCAGATAAGCGCACTAACCTTCCTCTCACCTAGTGATTCAAGCGATAATTCCAAGCCTCCTGAAAATGATTCGTCACTATCGGAAGTTCTCGAGAGATCCATTTTGTCTGGCAATTACATATAAATGTCATCATTTGAGCAGGCAAAGCGTCTACGGACACGTAAGCCGTTGAAAGTCAGCCCATGGTAACGTCCCAGAGTAAATGTCATTTGACAGATCATGTAATCAGAGTGTTATAACTTCAATTTTTACTATAAAAATTTTATTTCGCATTCAAAAGAAAAAAAAAGTATGCTGAAACAATGGCTTTTATCAGTTTGACCAAAAAAGAGGACTATAACTTGAGGTAATTGCTATGAAAGTTAAAGAATACCGAAAACAGTCCGCAGACAACCCCGGCAAAAACTGAAACCTCCGTCAAATGAATGCCCAATTTCCCCCCTCCCCTTATCCAAAGTTGTTTAGGATAGCATGGTAATTATACACGTTGGTTTTTAGACCAAGGCAACTTTGAATAGGGGGTGGGGAGGGGGTTTACTTTTTGTGTTTAGGGGAGACGGGAGTAGGGCGCAAAAGTTAGAAAATCGATGGAATTGTCTCAACAGTTTTGTCCGGGGTTGTAGGTTTGATATAAGCTTACAGAACTTTAAAAGGCCTTCAGATATATTTTCTCACTGCAAATAGAAAGAAAACGTTCCGATGAATATTTAGTTATAAATTTGGCTGTAGAAAGAAAACGTTGAGCGATTTTCTTGCTTCGACGACTTCATCTTTGAAAAAAGCAAACACTGGGAGGCCGGCTTAAAGTAAAACATACTTAACTTAAGCTTAAGCTTTAAGCTTACAGTTGTAAAGATTCAGGATTTTAGAGAAACTTAAATACTTGTCTTCGTTAATGAAAATTGTTGTCTCTGCAAATGTTTCACCGAATTATATTTCTTTTGTTGATTGTTAGTAGTCTCTCTTGTAATTTTAATCACTTGTCCGTGCTGTTTGTTTTCATTGTTCATCAACATCGCTTGCAGGGGTACTTAAAATTGTCACACGTATCAAATGCTTTATAAGATTACACATCGTTATACCGGTAACTGAAACCATGATTAAATAACAAAAAAATAATAATAATAAATTCGTTATTATGTTGATGCATAACTCTATTAAAGTTCATTCAAACACTCCACCACACTGACAGCTCCCACTAGAAATGAGAACCGGCTGGCCTCATGGATGATTTTGGAAATTTTTAGAACGGTTTCACTAAAAGCACACGATTGATCATCCTGAATATTGACTAAGTGCAATTTGTCTTGAAAAATTGTGAAATACAGCATTCTGTCCAAGGTCTGTATAATAATAGTACTGTCTCACCTCAGATGTGATGTATATAAAGTGTAAAAGGTTGGTTTACACAATCCCAGATTTGTTGGCAAGACTTTCGACGCCTAATCTACTGTGATCAAGAGCCATTATGGCTCTTGAATGTGATCGAAGATGTTTGCTATTTTTTGGCTATACATATACGGTAAGGCTATCAAGTCGATGTAAGATGTTTCACTCTAAAATGACTTAGCCTTTCCCTCAAAAGTAACATGAATGTGCCCTTGAGTTAACCGATTTGTGGATTACAAATTTATTGTTTGATTTAAATTATAAATTTATTAATGGAAGCTTCGCTTTTAGCCCTGGCTAAATCTATATGTTGGCTACTGCGAGGATAAGCAGAGGGTACCGGCATGATGTTTAAATGTAAACTAAATCTTACTGCTAAATAATTACAATGTCTACAGTGAAACGATCCTTCATGAGACCACATAAAAGCCATGGAACTCTGGTGGTATTAAGCTGTTCGCTCCTGAGCCGCGATCCAAAAAGCTTTCCCAAAAGCAGTAAATGTCTCGACTAGCTTCAAAACAAGTTTTTCGGCAAAATTCCCAGGAGGAGATGGTCATATTAACAAGGATTTAAGAAAACGGCTGCGTACTTTTTAAAATTTAGGTCAAAGAACCTTGTTGTATAACATGGTGAAGGGTAGCTGTTAATTGTAAGGAATAGAGAGTTTGTGGCCTGACAAAAAATTGTACGCCTTCAAATCTTCTGGACGCCATCTTTGAACTTTGGTGACAGTTGAAAAAATTTTGGCGGGTGAAAAAAATCATTCACACTTGAAATAGCTCCCTGTTGGCAGATTTTTTGCAAAACAAACAAAAGTTTGCTTAGTGCGAGCAAGGTTTAAGCTTTTTAAACCTTACCTTCTTTTTCGCGGGTCTTGATTCCCAAGTTGATATGACATGCACTTGAGTCTGTAAGCAGCTTTAAGTCCATGATCGTTTGGCTGAAATGAAATAAAATGCACTTTATATGACTGATCAAATGTTTCTCTTTTTCTTTCTCTCTGAAAGACTATTTTTACCTCTTTGCTGACGTTCAAAACAGCTTAATAATCTACTTCGGCCTCTTCTGATTCCGCCATTTTAAATTTTACCGCTAGAAGACATCCGGTTGACTAATAGGACTGAGGGGCATTGCTGGATGACCTTGACGTTGATTGGTTCAAATTAAGATACACACCTCCTATTTGGCCATATTTAGAAGAACAGCGTTACCTGTCAAAAAAGGCAAAGGGGTCCGAGGTCCTCCCATCCCAGAGATCGCTCGGGACCTTTGGTGACGGCTTATATAACGGGGTACTACTGAAAAGCTAAACAAAATGTCGGATCGCAACGTATGCTTGATAGAAAGTTGGAAGAATTTTTATTTTTCGTTTCCTGTTACCTACAGACGAGTTTAGGGGAGAAGCTTCAATTCTATTCAAATGTCTATAGCAAGAACTAAATCACCGATGTTGGTCGGATTCAACAACATTTGGAGAAATCTTCCAGACAGTCTCCTGCTGCACATTTTTTGTTTTCTTTCTCCGAATGAAGTTGTACTTGCTGGTGAAGTCTGTCGAAACTGGAATCGCGTTTCGAAGGATGAATTGCTCTGGAAACACTTGCTTCAAATGACTTTACTCAACAGAGCAGGCGACAACATTGAGCTTCCTGTTAAATCATCTTCTTGGTTCGAAGAATATAAAAGAATCTACCAAACCACCCCTGTAGTGGAAGGCCAGGTACTGAAGGAACACACCGATGAAGTTCTTCACGTGACTTTTTCACACGATGGTCAACTTTTGGCATCAAGTTCGAAAGATTGCAGCGTGATTCTCTGGCGGGTCTACGATTTCCATCGTGTTAAAATGGTGGAAAAGATAAACTTTGAAGATCACAATTGGGAGTATGTTCAGTTTTGTGAATTCAATAAAACCAACACTCTCCTTCTCGTATCAGGGGTTAATAAGATGCGAGACTTGAGTTTTAGAGGTGAGTTCTTTTCATTTGCCTTCTTTACACTTTCCATAATATGCTTTGTTTGCCCCAATAATAAAAATAATGATAATAACAATAGTAATAATAATAATAATATGAGAATAATTGATAATGATGATGATGATGGTGATGATGATGATAATGATGATGACGATGATGATTATGATGATGATGATGATGATAATGATGACGACAATGATAAGACAACTTATTCAAGGAACCCTTAATAACAATAATGATAATAATAATAGTAATAATAATAATATAATGAGAATAAATGATAATTATGATGGTGATGATGATGATGACAATGATGATGATGATGATGATGATGATGATGATGATGATGATGATGATGGCGAAGATGATAAGACAACTTATCAAGGAACCCTTAAATTCCAACTCTCTTTGAGACGGACACCTTTGGGACCAGCAGTAAGTGTCCATCTTAGAGAGATGTCCATTTTATAGAGAGTCACATCAAGGGTGCAAAGAAAGACAGGGACCAAATCTAGGTGTCCATCTTATAAAGGTATCGGTTAAGAAAGAGCCAACTGTACACTGCTTTGATCAATACAAAGGTTTTGATAGTCTGAGATCTCAGGTCAATACAATTTCACTTTGTTTCAGGGGCAAATCATGTGTTTAGTTAAAGTTGATAGTGATAGATGTAACTGACAATAATAATTATTGTTTTCAATTTTTATTGGCAAAACAGAAAAAAAAGGTTGAATGCAAATTTTGGGGAAAGACATCTGCAACTGCATAAAGAACGTTTTAAGCCTTTGGGTCAAATGGACAACAGTCTCAAGTATGGTTGTGTTTTGTAAGGGGCAATGAAATTGTAGCCTGTGTTGCAGATGTACATGCAATCTAACCCCAGTTAGTAATGTCTGTGAAGCAGCGCTAAGATCCTTGTTCTGGGCCCCCTACAGACTCAGCGCATTACTAGAAGTGTGTTTTGAATTTCCTTTCAACCTTATAGATGGTTTTCATAGTGATGTCATCAAATTATAAAGTCAAAATAGCTAAGTTTTACGAATTCTTATTGATACTAGGTCGAGGATAAACAAAAATTAAATCTTTGTACACGTTTCCAGTCCCATAGCATGTTTCATTTCAAAAATACAACACTTTTAACTTCCGAGTTTTCACAGTGCGTAACACCAAAACAGGAATGCTGTCTCATTGAAAAAAAAGTCTCTCCTCTTGATTTTCAGCAGTATAACCATTTCAAGTATTAGAAGGTATGTTTATGTGCATGAATACTAATTCTCAAGTGAAAAGAAAGAGTTTTTATAGGAAAAGTGAACTCCAGATGTTTTTGTGGATTTCCAGCAGCCATATTGGTGCACCAAACGGTGCAGCAATATGGCGTCTCCATACAAAACCCTACAAAGGTACATGAAACGTTTCAGCAAATGACTCAGAAACTGTGGACGACAAAGACCCGAGACTTGGACAAATTGTTTTATATATTAGTCTTTTATAACATTTCATTTTCTTGGCTTCTTCCACTGGGCGGTTTCCATTTATTTTTTTGTTGCGTGACAGTGAAAACGACCTATTGGCAAATCATGACAAGTATTCAAATCCTGGTACACAGGTGGGGGCCCAAAACAAGAATATCAGCGCTGTTTCACAGATGGACTTAACCAGAGTTTAGTTTCGTCTGTGGCGCAGGCTATGACATTGTTGTCCTTTACATTTTTTTATGCCTGTTGCTATAGACTGTGTTTGCTTTTACAGGTGAAATCTTCATACTTCAGCTTCAAGGATTCAATGCAGTTGGTGTACTTCATTGTGTAAACAGTGAACCATATGATGTGTTTGGAGCTTGGCTAACAGAAAGATACTATATTTCAGGCACATTTGAATTCATGGAAAACGATTCATCTACTTCAGAGTTGTGGGCAAACTGTGCAAATGGTTTTAGTCAAGACCATCAAACAAAACTGGCCCGGGTTGTTAATTACAATTCTAGTTCTGTGAGAACTGTTCTTGTAGCCAGGCCAAGCGGCATGTGTAGTTCACGACCTGCCAAAGGTTCCTCAGCATTGCAAAGAAATGATCGTGTTTGCTTGATTTTTACCCATGGCACGGTGACTTATGTCCCCCATCAGATTGTCTTCAAATGGCTTAAACTTGAAAATGGAGATTATGCCACAAGGAAACTGTCCATAGTTAGAAACAGCCATACAAACAGTAGCTACATGGAAAGAGGCAAAACAGGTGAAGTTGGCTATGAACCGTGTTACACAGAAGAGGAACATTGTATCGAAACCAATGCTCACATTATTGGCATGAGCTTGTCACCAGATCACCAATTTCTCTATGTCAATTGTCGCCCTTGGCAACAGCAAGATGGGAAAGATAGAATTGCTCCAGGGCTAATTGCTTCTCCTCCAGAAATCTCCAGTGAAATAACCTTGCGGGTTTACAGCTTGGCCACATACAAACTTGTTGGTGTTCATACTGGCCATGAAGCATATACTCCTAATGATGGCTGCTTCTTTATTTTTCTTAATGTTGCAGACAAGTTTGTTGCAAGGTAAGACCTCCATTTATCGCACCAAATATTCCAAGAGCCATACTCACAATATAATTCACATTTAGGTCAATCCAAATAAACAAAATTGTTAAAAAGAAACTTGAATTCCAGCTTGCACTTTGGGTAAGCAACGCTCTCATTTTGTTTACCCAGAGCCACTTCTTGCCCTGACCGGGCAAGGCTTTATTCCAAACCTGAATTTTTTTACATCATTATTACTCTATTTAAGAACTTGAAGGTAATAACATTCTCTTTAAATTAGCCCCCCATCCCCATCCCTCTCAAATAAGCCCTCTTCTCTAATAAGCCCCCCTTTTCAGGAGAAGAAAGTTTATAAGCTCCCTTCTCTTTTAAGCTTGACTGACGGTTTCATATAAAGGGGGTCAGGGTCCCTAGGTCTGCTACTTGCATACCATACAAAAACAGGGGCACCCAACGGCAATTTTCGGGAAAATATGTGTTCGGAAGACGATTTGAGATCTAGAATTTTCGGAGCATTTGTTGTAAAATTTCTTGCTTGCCTGCCTCTCCTAGGATTTTCGCACATCTACAAGATGGTATAATTACCCATTTTTAACGGATTTTGACCCTAAAAAAGGCCACCTAGAATTTTCGGGAGCCTTTTCCTGGCTGAAAGTTTCTAGAAGATAAGTTTTTATCCCTATAATTTTCAGATCACTAGACTTTCAGCTAGGAAATCCGAACAGATGAAAAGTTTTTAGGGGATAAAAATATGCCTATATCTACCGTTTGAATACTAAAATACGCTCAACAATGCTTTGTTAAGTGGTTTTGAACTATATCCTCGTTGGGTGCCCCTGACAAAAAGGCAAGGAGTGGCCTATAAGGCCAAAACTTATTCTGGTTTCTGTAGCATGAAGCAACTAGGAATATTTCTTCTTCCTCTTGATGTGACGCCAGTCTGTCACAGGGTTTTCCCCCATTACTAAATTTGCCAGCGAGAGTTAAGTGTCTCGCCCAAGAACTAAACACAATGACCCAGGCCCGGGTCTGAACCCAGACCTCTTGAACTGTAGTCGGAGGTCCATATCTTGAAAGTCCTGGTAACTTTACAGGCCCAAAGCAAAATAATAAAATAAGAATCTTACTAATAAAAGCATGGATCCTAGCTAAAAAAACAGTCCAATTTGTGTTGTTAACCAATAGGTTTACCTAAAATGTGATCAAAAATGCTCTCCAGACCCTGTGATTACCGGCACTTTTGAGAAACAGGCCAGACACAGTGAACCATGGGAGTGTGATCACGTCAAATAGACTGAACAAGGGCTTTTTAAGTGTTCCAAATTTGGTTTCATGATTAATTTTCAATGGCAATGTCCTCGGCTTCAGAGCTTGAATGGTCACTGATCAGTTTTGCCTGATCAGACTCCACTTTAACTTGACGGGGAGGGGATAAAAGAAAGAGAAGATGGCGAGAAGGGTGGAAGGGTGCAATAATTCAAGGGAGGCGATTATTTTAAAAATTTCCACTTAAGGGAGGCAATTTTTTGAGGGAGGCGATTAATCGAGGGATGACTGTGATTCAAGGAAATATGGTAATTATTTTATTGTTTTTAATCTTCAGTGGAGCAGAGGATCATTGTGCTCATGTTTGGGACAGACACTTTGGAACCAAGCTAGCCACTCTTAAAGGACACAGTAATGTAGTGAACTGTGTTGCATTCAACCCTGTGAACCAACAAATGCTGGTCAGTGCGAGCGATGATCAGACTATCAGAGTATGGAGATCCCGGCAGCTGTCCAAGCTACCGGTGAATGATTCAGTGGAGGTAGAAGAAAGTTACGAAGAAATAAGCTTTGTGGAGGAGAGATTTTTGAGAGAAACAAATGTGTGAATTAATGCTATGTAAATGTAATTTATTATTAAATAGGGAGCTGAAGCAAAGTAGTTTTTGAGGGACGCACATCTTTTGGAATTGGACTATTTGCATCCTTGGGCAGTGGTTTAACCCATTATTTTGGCAAATCGTCCGTATAAGAGTAAAGACACGTAGCTATACAATTTTAGTAGCGTTTAGGCATATTAAAAGGGGAAAAGCCTTACTTCCGGTTGATGTTCGTGAGGCCTTTCAAGGGTGGGGGTGGGGTAGGGATATGATGTTTCTTTCTCGGTCACTTCCGAGACTGCCTGTCACCTAGAAGGTTAGGAAAAATGTCACTGTCACATTTTAGCTGGGACACCCTTCAAAAAACGTCCTTGCTTAACGTCGTTTCATATTCATCATCATCATCATCATTATTTCTAGAAACGCGCATTTACGAGAAGGAACCAAACGGAAAAAAGTCTCGGTTTTCAAAAATGACGTGCGTGTGGACTGGATCTTAAGATCAGTATAACATCACTAGGTCTCACTATTTTACTTTTAAAAAAATTGCTTTAAATAATATATTCGCGACCGTAGAAGTGTTATTAGGTGATATATTTTTTTTAATAATATTGGGGTGCCAAAGTTTTATGAAGGAGTTACTCAGAAGAGGAGGGAAATTTGTATTTGACATTTTATATCTAAGGATTGATTTCATTAGGCTTATTTAGCAACAGAACGGGAACGTCAATTGACGACGGCGCGCGCAAATCAAACAACTGGCTTGACCAATGGCTGTGCGGCAAATTGGGCACCGGAAGTCGAGTTTAGCCCTTTCTGCGCGCTTTCCCGTCGTCAAATGACGTCCCCGTTCTGTTGCTAATTAAATCAGCCTATTACTTTGCTTGCGTCCAGCCTGCGTAAGTTGGCCGGCATACCAGCTGATCAGGTCATAGTTTCCGCTTGTTATAACGTGGTGGCTGGAGATAGCACTTGCTGCAATTTTTTTCAAAGCAGAGAAGAACCGTCAAAGTAAGGTTAGACCTTAGGTTATGTCTTGTAAGAGAACTGAACCACAGAAAAAACGGCTTCATTAATACAATGTTTTCAGGTTGATGCAGGTTGCGAAAAGCTGTTACAGAAAGTAGAGAGTAGTTCTACTTTTTGCAACAAAATCTTTACATGTTGCACGTTTTACCGGCGCAAGGAAAACTTGATTTGCATTTTGCAGCAAGTGACGTAATTCCCATGTATGGCGTGACTCCCGCGTAATTTTATCCAATCAGAAGTCAGTATTCACGCAACTTGCAACAAACTGATTTTGTTGAAAGGCAGGTTTGAACGTGGGTGGTAAAACTCGCAACATTGCTTCTCAAGTTGTTTACCAGCAATGTTGCAAAACAAGTTTTTTTCATCGTAGCTTTATCTCGTAATTTAAAAGAAGACCTCCTTTTTAAGACCCCACTGGTTTCTAGGAATGGCACAGGTAACCCAAGCTCTTTGTTAGTACCACAGTACGGTTCCAGTAAAATTATAGTGTTTGTATGGGGTAAAAATACGGTCCTAAAATTTGCAGGAAATACTAAGGTCAATGAACCGTACTGTGGTATTAAGACGGAACCTGGGTTACCTGTGGGAATGGTTGACACGTTCCAATATGCAGACAGTAAAGAGGCAACCGAGGCAGTTACCTTGCTAATAATTTTATAAGTTTCTTGTTTTTGCTTTTACAAAATAATATGTTGATAAGTCGGCTATACTTCAAAACAGATTTCTCTGAAATTAGAGAGATTTAACGTTCACGGGCTTTGACAAACATCAGATTCAAGCTATGAGAATTTCTGAAAAAAAAAAAAAGGAAATAAGCTGATAACTGTCCAAGACAATTCTTATGGATATAACTAAGAGAAACTAGTAATTTTTTTGCAGAATTAATGAATAGTTATCAACATGAAAAGTGAAAACTTGGTCACGTGGTACAAAGTCAAAACCTGTTGTATGCCGTTTAAACGCGACTCTAAATTTCTCAAAATGTTTGTCTGGCTACTGCCCCGAAGTATTTCAGTTAACATAACTAGGTGTATTTCCCATTATTAACTACTGTTATTGATTACTGATGATGGGGTGGGGGGGTATTCATTTCTGGAAGGGAAAAAAAATGTAAATTAAGCTTTTGTTACTGGCATGGGCGGTTAGACTATCCGCTTGAATTAACGGAATAAAAAGAAACGCATCCAGAGTAACACTTGAATAATGTTTCAAAACACGTCGCAATACTGCGAAAAAAGGCTTTTCATAAGTAAAGGTACCTGTTTCGTTCTTCACGGCAGTTGTCAAAAAATATGAGATGACGAAAGGGTTTATCAACAATAGTAACCTTAGTAGCAAGCGTTTCCGTGTGGTTTTGGAGCAAAGGAAGACCGAGGAACGACGAGGTAAGGCCTGATTTTTTTCTGTTTTTTTTGACCGCGCGAAAAATGCATGGAACGAGAGCGCTAGCCAAACTGAGCGCAGTCTTTGCTCCAAAACCGCACGGAAACGCTTGCTACGCAGGCTACAACAATATCAACAACACAATATAGCAGTTTATTAAAGTGAACTACCGCTTAGTTAAGAAGATTTTAACGCTCGTCTTTTTTAACCATGTTGTCCCGCCATACTCTTCGGAAATGCGTTAAAGTCCCGGTTCCATTAAGCAACTGGGAGTTTTTCGCAACCGGAATTTTCTGAATACAGTTAAACCTCGACATAACGAACCTCTGTATAACAGAGTCCTCGGTACAACGAAACGATTTTCTTAACCCTGGTAATAGTAAAACATATGAAAAAGAACCTTTATAAACGAAACCTCATTTTAGCGAGCAATTTTGCAATTTCAAAAAAATTGTTACCTTGAATATAATCTCACGTTGTTGTTTGCGTCAAACATGACTTTAAATCTCTAATTAATGCAAAGCGACGTGGTAATTAATAACTATATGCCATTATATTGAACAAATAGAAATCATATAATATTCCATGAAAAACATTGAGTAAATGTGATTTAGCTTTATTATGTAAGCGATACCTCGATAATTACAAACAAGGTTCTTTCAGTGCATCTGTGGTTACTAGGGGAACAATCGCTTCATCGGTGGCGCAAGCGAGTGGAGAAAAGATGCTGCAAATTGCTAGATATCCCTTACCTTTTAACCCTACTCCGGTTTTGTGTCCGCTATGCACCTTACCTCCCGGAAATACCCGTTTTACTTTCCAACCGTGTTGTTTCTACCCCACGGAAACGCATCCAGAATCGCAAGTCCATCTTCAGGTCAATTCTCTAATGAGTCTGCGGAGGTCCTCTTTTGAGCCTTACAGGGCCCCAGTCCGATCTGTGAATGGGATCCCATTAGCATCTCAGAATTTTCATTCTCCGTCAAACGAGAATATTACGCGTGTGCAGCGTGAGCGAAGTAGTGGCGTTGGTGCTAATCAGCAAGGTGGTAAGTCGAAAAAGTTCTCTTTACATTTGTGTTTTTCTTTAATTTGAAAGGGCATTTATCTCCACTTTTAACAGCCCAAGTAAGTCTGAGAGACTTAATTACAAATCGAAAATGACTTTTTAAGAGATACAGTAAGCTGTAAGGACTGCTGAAAAGTTTTCTAGTCTCAGTTTTATCAAGAATTGTTCCGACGAACACGCAGTGAAAACGATTCTCTGACTCATTAGACTGTTTCTCAGTTGTTTTATAATCCTTATTTTTAAGGTATAACAAAATCTTTGCGTACTTGTGGACCTCTTTCTTTTTAAGAAATGCGATAAATAAAACAAAGGAATGATGAGGGAGTACGTGTATAACAAAAACAACATTTTATTTTTTTTTTTCGAAATGCGAAAAAGAGCGCAAAAAGGGCAAAGCTGAAACGTTTCCATAGTTATCATACGCAATTAGATTAAGCTGTCATTGTTGTATTCTTGTAAAATCATAAGCGCATGTATTTGTAAACCGCAGCTAATACTGCTTACATAGGATCGTTTTGTAATAATTATCCAAGTAATGACGTTTAACAAAACTTTGCAAAACATAGATGGATTAGAACGGAAAAGTTGACTTGGTTTTTACCCCTTTGGCTACTGTTGCTGAGAGACTTTCTGTGCGGCGTCGACCACAATCTCATCCTTAATTTCTTTCTATCTTGACTGTTGGTCCACGTCAGCCTTTACCACTCATCTTCCAATCTTCCTTGATCATAAGTAATTTTTCCGAAGTTCCCAAGGGGCGATTATCATTTACTGTTTAAAAATACAAATGTCTCTCAGTTGCATCAAGACTAGAGTAAATACAGGAGGGCTTTACTAACTATTAAATAAATGTGTTGGCAGGTAACAGAGACGATTCAGGAAATTTGCATTGTACTGCCCTTTCTGGCATCAAGAAAAAGCGACGAAAGAGAACTATTTTCACTTGTGAACAGCTAAGCCGACTGGAATCTTTGTTTGAAGAGCAGCAGTATATAGTGGGCACAGAGAGACAACAGTTGGCAGAAGCTCTGAATTTGTCGGAAACTCAGGTTAGCTGTTGGCGACGTTTTTAGAGATTTAGGGCCAACTTAGTCCCCAGGGCTTCCCTCAGAAAATGGGGGGAAATGCCTGAGGACGAGGGTGACCCCATTCTATTTGCACTTTAGAAACGAGAAGGAAACTGGGGCGAATGGATTCCGGATTCCAATCGTACGCGGGATTCAGGATTCCTTGAGCTGAATTCCAGGATCCCAAAGCCTGGGATTCCGGAGTCCAAAAGCCAAAATTCCCCAAGTGTCGGAACCCGGATTACCTTATATTGGGCGAACTGGTCGTCATGCCGATAATCTTACAACTATCTCTTTTTTTAACACAAACAGATCAAAATTTGGTTCCAAAATCGCCGAATTAAATGGAGGAAAGAGAACAAGCAGAATTTCCCAGATTTTCTTGGCGCCAGTCCTTTCTCTGTCGCCTGTGCCCGAATCAGACACTCGAGAGGACTGGATTCCTGGGATGACGAGTGATGCGTTGGCGTAATGATAGTAGGGAGCTCAGTAAATTGCTTTTTAATGATTCACGTGTTTTCATGTTTGCTTTGAAATCGCACAAGTCTACTTGCGTTTAGCTGGTTGTAGAGTTTATAAAGGTCGTTTGCAAAACGAATGAGTGATTAAAAACTTTCCAGAAAGCTCCGAAAGGAAGCAGACAATTTATACCCTTTTTTACAAATTCCAAGATATCTCGAAATTCCTCTTATAGA